ATTGGAAATTGATTGGAGTGCCAGTCCCTGGAGTGAGGCCTGAAACCTCCACACCCTCTGCTAACAGGACTGTCCCATGGAGACCAGCCCTCCCTTCTTAGGGGCTTTCTCATAGCAAGAGCCACCTCCACCATTCTCGACACTTAGGGCATTCCAAGGTGGGTAGCTCTGTGCAGAAATTGGGACAAAGAGCAAATGCAGGATTCTTATTTTAAATCACATTTTCATGTGATCATTATAAATCATACCTAAATATGTCCTTTTTATTTGATATCCATGCTAGGGTCAATTTATCTATTTTTACAGTACACACAATGTATTAGGATTTTGATTAAATTTATAAATCCACTTAAGGAAAGTTGATTCTTTTGTAAAAGATGTTTTTATTTATGCATACAAGAACTGGGGCGTAGAGCAGAGGTGGAGATAGTGGACAGAGGATTCACCAGAGACAGAGTGGGGAGCAGAACAGGCAGATATACTGGAATACACAGCTGAGAGGAGCAGTGGGTGGGTCAGGAGACGTCTGCCGCACCATGCGGGTCAGCTCCCTGGCTGGGAATTGAACTCAGGCCATAGTGATTGGTGATAACTTGATAGTTCTGAGACTTCCCTGCACCATCAGGGAACCCCAATGAATACTGACTCTTTAAAAATTGTATTTTTCACTCCATGAACCTAATATGGCTCTCAGTGTTCTTACATTTAAATACTGATTACATCTTTCAATCCATGAATGTGCATGGCCCTTAATGTCTTTAAGTTAAATTATTTTTAATTATAGGATGAATACATGAATACCTCCTTGTTAAAAAAAAAAAATTAGGGTCCTCCCTGGTGGCTCAAGGTGTTAAGTCTCAGCACTATGAAGCTAGACACAGCCACTGCAGCACAAGTTCGATCCCCAGCCAGGGCGCTGACCACATGGTGAAGCAGACCTCTCCTGTCTCTCCTGCTGCTCCCTTTAGCAGTGTGTTTTAGTCAATCCACCTGTTCTGCTTCCCACTCTGTCTCTG